CTCTCTCCACCCTTGGGTGTATGTACCACCTCTCTCCCACCCTGGTGTATCTGTACCACCTCTCTCCCCCACCCTTGTGTATCTGTACCACCTCTTTCACCACCCTTGTGTATCTGTACCACCTCTCTCTCCACCATTGTGTATCTGTACCTTGAGTTATCACAAAGGGTGGGATCACTGGACTTGATGACCCATTTTACAGATAAGAAAACTAAGGCTTCAAGAGGTATTGTTCGAATCTAAGGCTCCAAGAAATTGTTCGAATCTAGAGTTCCATGACACTGGAACCCAAAGTCCTTCCTCTCTGCCTTGCTGCTTTGAAATAAATCCACTTTGGATTTGGAGATGCCATTTCTGAGGAACTCTATAACTTGGCATTCAAGCTCAAACCATGCTGCTCAAGGGTCAACTGTGTATTTTTTAACTGTCATACTACTACCCTGTAACAACACATAATCGTGTTGATCCCTTAACCTTTGGTGATGTTCAGGCCACCAAAGTGCCCAGCCAGGGATCTCTGCCCACCTGCTGCCACTCAGGTTTGCCCAGTTGTCATCAATGTGTTATTTTCTCTGTGGATTGCGACTTGTGACAAAGGTTAAAAAGGTGGGCCCTGGGGTTAGTAAAGCAGCTCCCATCTTCAGCCTCATCAGATCCCCCCACTATCCTAGAAAGGCCCCACAGTGCCTGATCCCATTTCTTGCCTCCTGCAGGTCTACATCATCCGAGTCACGTGGTCCAGCGGCTCCACCGAGGCCATTTACCGGCGCTATAGCAAGTTCTTTGACCTCCAGGTAAGGACTTGGGGTCTCCAGTGAGCTGCAGGGAGGGCAGGGGTGTGAATTGGACTCCCTTTCCATTTCTTCTTCAGAATCCAGGCCCTCCCCACAGTGGACACTCGGTGTTCTATTTTCTGGACTTCAAAATGACATCATGAGCTTACTTGAGCAACACATAGTCTAAAATTGGGACGAGTTAAAGATTAGCACAAGCAGGACATGCAAATGTGTGGAACATTCCATATTTTAAAAATATGTCTGTTGCTTTAGGGAAAGAAGTAATGTACCTTGGTATTTGGGATTTTTCAAATTGAAAAAGCTACCTGTGACTGCTCCAGATTAGAGGGTAACCTGGAAATCATTTCTATATGGCTCTGGAGTACAGATTTGAATTTGTGTTATGAACCATAATTGTGTTTGCTGGTGAGTTCAATTCGTATGTTCAGATCTCAATGGTTGTTCTCTGCAGACACATCCATCTCTCTGGCCTCACCTGGCCTCCTCTCCCTGTCAGATTCCTGAAGTGCCTGCTATGCTCCGAAGGCCCAGACTGCCTCCCCATAGGGCCTTGCTGTGACTCACCTGGGACACTCTGTGTCCTCCTGACCCACTTGTTGGTGTAGGTAACTCCTGCCCTTTAGGGTGCTGATCCTCTGGGAAACCTGGCCTGACTCTTTCCCCAGACAGTTAGGACCTCCTCTTCTGCACCCTCATAGTTTAGTGCACCCCTTTGTCCTGACCCGAGATTGAGATTGCCCCTCTAGACTGTGACTCTCGTGGGCAGGAACCACGTCTTCCTCTCTCTGTCCTTAATGTTTTATTTAAGGATATGGCATGTATCCAGTCAGTGTTTGATGAATGAATGTATGAATAAGTGACCACCATGTGTATCAGGGAAAAGGCACAGCTCAGTGTAAGCCCGTGTCCATCAGGTAAAAGAACTGTAATCCGTGGGTCAATAGCTTTATCGGTATGTCACCAAAGACAAATGCCAGTGTGTCCATGTGAGAAGTAACAGTTCCTCATGATGTGACAACAAAACTCTTTAGAAAACATCTCTAACAGCAGAGGAGAGCTTCCTGACTCTATGAGTCCTCCCTGCCTTGTGGTGAGGGCTCATGTCACCTTTCAGGCCAATGCAAGGCGTTATCCTTCCTTGGTGTACCAGGTAGGACACTTCAGTGACAGGTGATAGAAAACCAACTCAAATTGGCTTACATAAATGGGGTTGCCGAGCATGTAGGGGCAGGCGGGGGTGGGGAGCTGTTATAACTGAATATTCTAGGAAAAGAAACCTTGTGGGCTTCAGGCACAGCTTGACCCATGGTTTTCACAGTGTCACCTTGCCTAGCTTCTTCTGCATTCCTACTTCCATAGAGTTGGCTTTGTCCTCAGATCCTGTTTGGGCCCCCTCTCAACAAGAGGCCCCCACTCCGTCACTTCCCAGAGGCCCCAGCAAACAGTGTAGTGTTTTATAGACTTCTTACTAGCCAGTTGATAGAGTTGAGGAATGTGATGGGCTTAGCTGGGCCCCTGCTCTGCCCCTGCAGTCAAAACAGCTATGACAGATGTAAAATGGTAGGCGTTGCTGGGACAGATGATCGCCCTGCCCGCCACACTGTCTGCTCCTCCACACCATCCAGCGCCATCCTGTCCTCCCACACCATTCATCTGTGGGCCTCACAGATTTTGTCTGAAGGTTGGGTGATTTTAACCACAGGCATCCTTGATTTACACTGACCTAATCAGTTTCTAAAAATGCCAAACAGCACTTTTGGAGCTTGGATTCCTTTATTCTAAGGGTGGGGAGAGGTAATAATTCAAGCTCAACCCATTTCCTCAGTATCGCTAAAACAATTTCTCATGCCTACATAACAAACTTCCAGAAATCATTGCCTAATGGAAAGCAGTTGACATGAGTTACCTAATTTTTCTAAATGTACTGAACTCCTTAGTGGTGGTTTGTGTTTAGTATGCAACAAGATCAAACAGTATCATAACAGATTGTATTTTTCTTCTGGCATGCACAAGCATGTCCTGGAAATAAATACACAAAGAGGCTGTATGTTAAAAATGTTACGATACTATCCAGAATGGGCTTAACAGGAACAAAAGGGGTGGGGGGCAGGGGCAGACTGAGGCCTGGGAGAAGAAGGAGGTGACAATAGCCACCTCTTCTGAATGCCATGAGCACAGCCCTGCATGAGAATGGCCAAGCCCACGGACCCAGGTGCACAGGTGACTTACACGGGTCCATATGGCAGGTCTTCAGTCCAGAGGGTGAACATTGCCAATATTTAGCCACTTGCTAGACTGACTTATTTGGCAATTTGCTAGGCTGACTTTTCAAGCACCAAGGGTCTATGTAGGGAAGACTACCTGCTTTTTGCTTTCAGAGGCCTCTGGCCTGACTGACCCTTCTACAGAAGTCTAGGGCAGGCAGAGAGCAGCACCAGACATGGTTGCTTCCTGGGGATAGTACCATCCACGGAGCAAACACCCACTCAACTACCTGAGGCTGGCAGAGAGGTGTGGGGATGGGTTTATGGTGTGCACATGGACACCATAGGGAAATACAGGCAGCCTCACAGGGGCTGGACCCAGCAACTGAGTGACCCTCCAGGGAGTTGACAGCTTCCCCGGCCATATGACACCATGTCCATGGCTCTCCTGTCTTGCTTGCTCCTTTTTCTGCCAGTACCCCCTGACCAGCCCTAGAGAAAGCTTGTCATTCATCCTTGGCTCCCAAAGGGTCCCCAGCAGTACCTTCAGCCCTGAGAGGTGAAGTCTTTCGCCACAGTCAAGCTGGAGTTTGAGCACCAATTCCAGATTCCAGGAGAGAGAGCCGTCCCAAGGGCCCTGTGAGGACCTGTCAACTTTTGCCAAAGGCAGGGGGTCATTCATCCAGCAGCATGTGGAGGACTAGGTTCTTTGAGAAGGCAGGTGGGAAGATGCCCTGGAAGCTCACCAAGAAAGGCCACTTGCTGTCATTCTAAAGCTCATGGGCCAGGTAGTGCATGAGCAACTCGACTGGGTTATGGCATTCCCTATCTCAGCAAACTCAGAGGTGAAGACCTTGACTTCTCAGACTGAATTGGCTTGGGTTTAAGTCTCAGCTTGGCTTTTTCAGGCCTCAGCTTGCTGTTCCCTCTGTTTCTGAGGCTGAGTTTCCTCGTGCACTTATGAAAAAGAAAAGCACTTTCCCTTGGTAGCTCTTGTGACATGCCTCAGTCAGCCCCCCACCCCCTCCGTTAGCTGTCACCTGCTCTTCCCCTGCTGAGGTGGGACTTGCCAAAGTGACATCATTTGGAATTCTTGTACCAGATTTGGATCACGAGACTCCCTGGCCAAAACCCATTCTCCTTCACCCTCCAGTTCTGATTCAACTTTCGTGTTTCTACCATAACTCAAAAGTGAGCTTTCCCTCCCGCTCAGCATAATTGGTAATAATTGGGAGTTTGCTATAACATAAATAGCTGCCTCAGACGCCCTGCCCATAACGGAATCGTCTAAAAGCAAGGCTTCAGCCAGCTTTAAAGAGTCCCAGATGGGCGGCTGGAGTGGGAAAGTCGTGGAATTCCAGAGGGTCCTGCTCATCCTGGAAACAGCCTCCTCCACTCCCCATTCCCCAGCAGGGAAGCTGGATGAGGCTAGGGTTGCAGCTAGACCCCCACCCACCAAAGTCAGCTGTTCCCAAGGAACAGGCAAGGCCAACCCTGTGGGTCTTGCACACCCTAAAGTTAGATGACTTCATGGTTCCACCCTCCTCTCCCTCCTGTCTGGCAAGTAGCCTTGGGTTTCTTTTTCTTTTTCTTTTTTTCAGAAGTAACTTGGCTCAAAGTATGAGGAGGGCTGAGCTTTCATGGAGAAACAGCTCAGCCAGTGTGGCGTAATGGAAAATGCAGAGGACTCAGTCAGGAAACTTGGGGCCCAGCCACCTGTGCTGTGTGGCCTTGGGCACATGATGGTCCTACTCATCATCATCAGTAACATGGGGTATCACAGCTGGCATTTCTGTTGCACTGACTGCTGAGCATCTAGGAGTGACTCAAGTAATCCTCATATCAAGCTTATTAAATCATACAGATAAGAAACACAAGCTCAGAGAAGTGAAGTCATTTACCCAAGGTCACACAGCTAGGAAGTGTCAAAACCTGAATTTGAAGACATTTCACAGATTCCATGACCTTAGCCACTCTGCTGCCCAGTGCTCCTCCCTCTAGTGGCTACTTAATGGGTTCCCATGGAGTTAAAAGTGATGATTTGACCAGAAGAGGCAAACCCACAGGCATAGAAAACAGATTAATTGTTGCCAGGAGCTGGGGGCAGGGCAAGTGGGAAAAACTACTCGTGGGTACTGGGCATCTCTTGGGGGTGAAGAAGATGTTTTAGAATTCTATAGTGGTTATGGTTGCACAGCTTTGTAAATATACTTAAAAACTCACTGAATCACATACTTTAAAAGAATATATTTTGTACTATGTGATGTGTATCTTAATTTTCTTTGATGATGTGCGTGAGAGCAGTCTCTGAGCTGTTGAAACCTGAGCAGATACCACCTGTTATTGATGAGCATGGGTTGCTAGGAATTGGCATAAAGAGTAGAACAGGGGATGATGCCAGTTTAATGGAGTGGTTAAGATCCTGGGCTTTGATCCAAATCCTGCCACTAACTGGCTGTGAGATCTTGTTTTAGTCAGAACTGCTATAGTTACAGATGACAGAAATCCAGTCAAGATGAGTTATGTAAAAGAACATAGATTAGCTAAATGCCACTGAGAAGACTAAGGGCATTGACTTCAGTTTTGGCTAGATCTAGGGGCCAACCTGTTTACAAGGCCCTGTCTTTCTCTACTTCCAAGCAGGGTGGTGTCTGCTACAGTGTGACCAGGTATCTCCAAGCTGTAGCCAACAAGTCACCTCAGTGACTTCAGGGAAAAAGAGGACACCACAACAATTTAAGCAAAAGTCTAGTTTATTTTAGGGTCAGTGTTTGGGCTATTCAGAGCTAGCCC